AGTAATTGTGATGCGTTCTTCCATCTGATTATTTTTTGGATTGGCGGCCTGTATCCAAAATGTTTCGAGGGATTGGGCATTCACGATTGCGATGCCTGTGCCACGACCTCTACGGCGATCTCGAAACGTCTCCATTACAATTTTGAATGCGATGGGATTGTTGGGCGGCAGAATCCTTTAATCACTTCATGAAATCTGGGTGCTCCTCAATTTGCAGTGTCTAAAATTATCCAAGGATCACTTTCCGAAAGTGCAAAGACGAGTATATTGACGAAATAGCAAGCCAGTTCATGTGAGAATGAACATTTATGTACCGTTTACCTAGAGGGACTGATCTAGGGCGGAATCGCGCTGAGTTTTGGCAAAATTTTTCAGCTTGCTCAAGTGTTCCTGGCTTCGAAATTGAAACTAGCAATTAGCAAAGGTATTTCATCGCCTAATTTTGAGATATCTCTTTTAAATAGGGGCAGTTTCACTGCATCCATTTTTATTATGTGGTATGAGCGAGTGTTCTTAATGTTCGTCGTAGTCGCACGATGGTGGCTCATTGCATTGCTAACTATACAATATTGCTGCTGCACGCTATGTATCGATGTAATACAGCCTTCTTTGTACAGAAGGAAGTTTTTAGAAAAAAAAGCCTTACGAGATAGATATAAAAGGAACGCCTGCGACACAGATTGCAACTCCTTCTGTTCTACTCACACATTACTTTTGAAAGTCATCTCCATTCGTCTCTTAATTTACAACCCTCAAACGCGTCAAATGCATGGCCAGCCCCCTTTTGTACACTATTCCAGAACATGACTACTTTATATATGTAAATATATCCTTTCTTAGGGTGAGACGGAGGGTGAAATAAAGAATCGAATGTATTCCTATAGCTTTCGCCCTATACTACTTTGACAATCGCCCTCTCCCCTTATTGCCACAAGCCTTCCCAGCTTAAGAGAGCAAGCACCATTACAAGAATATCGAGTTCGGGAAATCACAGTCACAGCGTGCGCCGAAGTGATTGTAGCCCATCAAACGGTTGAACCTCATCAGGTGCTGCACTTGTTGGACTTCTCTGCTCTTGCCTAAAATGGTAGAGGACGTGGCGTGCGTATGATCTCAAATCGACTAGAAAAACGGGAAGGCAGCTAGGGTCTACTTTCAGAGATGGTTCACTACTGCCGATTACGATCTACAACTTATTGGAACAATACGACTCATGACAACTATTCTTTGATATATGCGTGTGGAATCGCTCATCGCATCTTCATTATGTTTAGGATAAGCCAAATACTATCCCAAAAGTGTAGCGCGTATCTGCTGACATTCAAAGTTACATTCATTGTGGATGTTTTTCTCCGAAAAATAAGAGCATTACGGCAAGCGTGCGAGATTTCGCTGTCAACTGGTCTTTCATCCGTCATAAGCCAGTGCAACGAACACGGTCCCAATAATCTTAATAATCAATTCCAATTCCAGATGTCGATGAAACTGTTCATCCTCCTACTAATTACAGCGTCGGTTGTTGTTTCAGGAACCGTAGGAGTGGTAAGTTTGAGTTTTCTACTTCGAAATATTGTACTGTGAAAACCCTGAAGATCCTCTGATAAAGGTCAGCCAAGGTTCGTAGGGGGGGGGGCTGTAGCAAACCGATGAAACGGGAGGTTAAGATTCTGAGGCAAAACTTGCGTGCATCATTGACATCACTTGCTGGCATCTCCGTGAATGAGTTAATGCCAAATGGACAAATGAAAATAATCTTTCTCTTTCCGATAACTTTCGAGGTTGCTTGAAAGAAGAGATGCCCTCATTTGTATTGATTTCTATACCATGGCTTTCTTTCTAAATTTATTTGAATTACGTAAGTATATGACAGTGCCTTCGAAAAATGTTATTGTTGATTTCAGAAGTATGGAAAAGCGGGTGTGAGCATGACATCCAATAAAGAAGCTCCGTCTGAACCTATGAGACGCTTCGGCGGACCACCCTCTCCTCATGCCGGATGGAGGA